ATATCATTGTGGGAAAATTCTACTACCAGTCCTTCATCACCTCAGACGAAATAGGGTGAATATATCTCATTATGCTTATTGCTTAACATGCATAATCAGGTTTCAAGTTTGTTTTGATCCCATTTTCACAATGTGCATGCCAGGCTCACTAAAATGCCCTAAACAACCTTCTTTGTACTTTTAGAGGCCTCGCCAAGTAGACAATCAGGAGCAAGAGTCGAGAAGCCGATTTTTTTACATTATGCCACTGCAACTTAACCTCGAAATATAAACAACTAAATTCCAAAGTCAGACAGAGTAAGTAATGCCGTTACTGGCTGCCTGGAAGTCTTAGGCCAACGCTGAGACGCTAACATTCATGTAATTGTAAAGACACTTACCTTTCTGCGTATCGCATTTGGTTCCTCGGTGGTTGTTTTAGCCATGGTGAAGTTTGTAAAGTCTTGAATGATTTGACTTTTAGTAGCCTTGGTAACTACTGCATTAGAAGCTTGAGGTACACGCTTCACAGGCGCACCGACTGTCAGATGGTTACGCAGTTGGAGAGCATCACCAGTGTTCAGAGACGGCTCGGATGAGAGACTGTTAAGCGCCTTAGTCTGTAGAGGGTGACTGTTTAGCAAGGCCGACTGAGTCATCAGGCTGAGGGGGCCATAATTTAAGGATGTGGGCAAGGTATAGGTTAGAGGCGAAAATTCTTTAAATGTATGAACATATTTGGGCAATTAAAAACATATGGGGAGTAAGAAGAAGAACGTTTTTTTCGATGAATCTCTTAGTGCATAATTTCAGTTGAAGGTGTGTAAGCACCTAAACTAGTAAAATTTATCTTCTTTCAATTAAAGAGGAATTCATATTAATTGAGGTTGTTTGATCTTGTTTTCGCAACATTGTGATATTGGTATGAAGACTTAGAGAAACGCACCTAGTCCGAAGTCCATTGTCTGCATTATTATGTTCGAAGTTGAATTGTGGACGCGGTACATTCCCAAACGTTTTGCGGGCATCGTAGTCGGCATCATCAGTGTGAAATTCAATGGAGACCTCAGCTCAACTAATATCATTGTGGGAAAATTCTACTACCAGCACTTTATCACCTTAGACGAAATAGGGTGAATAACTTACATATTCCTAATCAAAGTTGATAAAAAATTTAAGTTTAAAATAAGGGTGGAATGTAAAGTTCATTAGCTCAAGGTAGACTCTTAAGAAAAGGGTTTTCGGAAATAAATCATATACAGGATTAAGCCTCAATTTCCAGTCCCACTACAATTACGGACTGATGATAAGAAAGCCCAGGAGCATTATCATAACAAGTCTATATTTAAACGATATTGTTTTCTTAGGAGATAAACTAAACAAATAAACTCGTATAATTCTTGGATATGGATATCGAAAAGAAATAATGCAACAAAAGATACGAGTCGGGATGAGCAGATGGCAGACTGGCGATAATAAAATGAAACCAAGTAAGACAGAAGAAGATCGATTTCAAACTGGCTCAAAAGCTGCCAACGCTGCTGATGAAAGTGAACATTTATACGATTCTGCTCTTCACCAGCTTGCACACAGCATAAAAATATCAAGGAAATTTGATGCTTTAGAATCTACTGCATAACCTGACAGGACTGTATGCAAGAGTACATTGGAGAGACGGGAACAACAAGCAGGACATGGATTAAAGAATACCAGCCTCTCTTTGGTACTATGGATACGGAAAGATCTGAGATAGCCGAGAACATTGCTCTGACCAGACTCGCGATTGAAGAGAATGCTTAGGAAAGACATTGCAGAGGAAACAATAGGGGCAACTAAAAATCAAGAAAAGTCGATTGATGTGAGGAGGTTTAAACCTAGAATCAGCTTCAATTAGCTACCAGTATGGGTGCATCTGGGAGTGAAGAGTCGAAGGATCTTAAACGTCCAATTGGTACACCCTTTGAGATGTTGAGTTCAGTATATAGATCTATTTCAAATCCCCTTGTGTGTACCACTGAGGTGAAGAGACACAACCAGTTACTCCTCAGTACGTGGCTTAAGTGTATATATATATGTATATGCGTGTGTGTGTAAAAGTACTGTAGTTACTATATTTTGTTTAAGGTGATGTAGAACTGGTAGATGAATTTTGCCAAAGTGATATGATTATGCATCATCTTCCATTGAAGTTCGCATAGCCTTGCTTCTGAAAGCGTATTCTCATGCAAGGTAAATTCCGCCTACGTCTCACCAACACTCTCCACAGGACCCGAACCAGTGTTGTGGTAGGGCAGTGCATAGTCTCGATGCCTAAAACCACGTGGTCAAAACTGCATTCCACTCCTACCTGGACGAGAATACCTTTAAGGAAGCAAAACGATATGAAATTCAATGAAGACATAAAGCCTATTCACATATTTGTGGGAAAGCTCAACTACCTTAAGTAGAAAGGGTGAATATAGTTCATATATCAGAGCTGACGGTAGTCTAGACAGCCTACTTATTAAAAAAAGAAAATGTGTGTGTGTTTGTGACTGTTGAGCTTAGAGCTCAAGAAGGAGTGATAATGTGCGAGACAAGAGGAGTGAAGTTAATTTTGTTAAATAAAAGAGAAATAAAGCGGTCCATGTCCATACTAGCGATTTTAAATGAAGCCATGTGCAGAGGATGAGAGATAATTGAGAAAATGAGAATTCGGACGTGAGTTTTTTTAAGGTTAGGCGAT